CCCCAAAACCCCAAAACCCCAAAACCCCAAAACCCCGTCTCACATATATTAAATTGCTCTATATTTAATAGTTCAAAAATGTCAAAATCACTTAAGCGAAAGACGAGAGGTAGGAAGAGGAAGATGAACAACGAAGATGGGAGTCAACAAAATAGAAAGAGAGTTAAGAAAGCGGAGGAAAACAAGGAGATGAAAATTATAAGTAAAGCCTTTACCGAAGAAGCCAAAGAAAACCTAAAAACTTATGTGAGGTTGAAGACTATCTATGAGGATGAAGGCATGACTCAGAGAACTCATCAATTTTTGATCAGGATAACTAAGAAAAAAGTAAGTCTAGGAGATGAATTGAGTTTTCCTTATTGATTCATGGTTAATATTAAATTTCACCTGCATCTGGCTTAATAGAACAGAATTTTGGAATCATTCCTATCTTCTCTTTACTAAAGTGTATTAGTATTCTGTTCCATCCCAGCTCACCAATCAGGAAGGTTTTGGATTGTTAATCAATAGTATATAAAAAGAAAAGGAGAAGTTCAAAATTTGTGAAGTTTAGAGTTTTCACAAAGGTCGAAAAATGCTCCAATTATTAGCCAACATTTTAACACAAAAGATAAATTTATCCACAGAGATTTGTGAATGTCCTCTAACCAGGTGTCTAGCTTGATGAGAACAAAGAATTGAACAAATACCCCCTTATGCAGTACCTTACGAATGCTTGTAAAATATTGATGCTCAACGAGTACGAGATCTGCCATTGGGCTGTGTGGCTTGATGAGCACGAGCTGGACTCTCATTCAGATTTCTCAGTTGAAGATTTTGTATTCAACACTGCTTTCTGAGTTAAGCTTAGCCTCAACAATGAAAAGTAAGAGAATTGTTTAACTATACATAGGTACTTAGGTAAGATACATCCATGGTTACGCCAAGATGGAAAATGCCTCTTAGTTGTCCTAGTTTACCAAAATCTTATTTTTCATACTTTTTAGTAGTATTTAATGCTTCAGCTTTGTAAAAGATGCTGTTACTTTTATTCTGTAATTCTCTTTTTTATCACAAGTTCTGTAGAGAAAATGCTCGTTAGCTATTTTAATTGCTATATCAAGGACTTCATCGATAGGTTTAACGACTGGATGAAAGATTTGAACAAGCAATACGAGTTCGACCCGATATTGGCAAACAAATAAGTTTCAAGTTCTAACAGCTCCCTACAACCCTCGCAGTAATCAGGAGTATGTGGACTACAACAACTGTGTGGATGATATTCTAAATATCTGCCCACCATATCATACTCATGCTCAATACAATCCAAGTTATCAGAGTCAAACAGGAAACCAAATGGATCTAATTAAAAAGAGGTAGGATATAAACAACTTTTAACAGGCTGCTAATTGATTTTAGAGTGAAAACGATTCCTTTTAACTCCTCGCCCCATCAAATCAACTGGGAGAAAGGTAATGGGCTTAAGAATCATCCAGTCGATATTCTGTTGAGCAACAGCCAGAATATTAAGAACAAATCCGAGGAGGAAAAAGTAATGAGAGAGCCTCCAAATGATCTCGCTTCAAAAATTGCATTATCTATCAAGAGTGTAGGTCAGCCCTTGAAGGCAGAGTATGATGAAAAACCTCAGGGAGTGTGATTTCCAATGATCCATGCTAGCTTTACTAAAGCCACCCCTATAAAAGAAGAGATTGATGAAAATTGAAACTCTCATGATTTCAACAACGATATGATTTTGAGTTCAAACGTCAACGACATCCAGAACCTCGGTCGAAAAGACTTAAGCCAGGCAAAAATCTTAATGAAGGATCCTCAGCATGACTCCAAAAGGGAGCCAAGTGAGCTCTCCTTTAACATTGTTGATCATGATGACAGAAGTGACCTAAATCTACTCGGGCTGTAAGTATACCACAAACGAAGGTTCTGAAATCTTGATAACTCCTAAAAGATATTTTATAGAATTTTTAAGAATTTTATAGTAGATTTTGTAAAATTTGGTTGATTCAAAAACAAAGTAGTTTTTAAAACTAATGAAATAATCAGCCATTAAATAGCCGGTATAGTAACATTACGCAACTGGAGTTATAAAAGTATCCAGTTCTTCAGCAAGCTTGTTAATAAAACTTAGCTAAAGTGAAGAATAACACTCAAATTTTTATTATTAGGAAACTTATTATTAATTTATCTCAAAAATGCTCTTAAATGCTTGAAATTTTTGAAAAATTAGAGTTTAATGCTAGGAAGAAGTTTTTAAAGTTTTAATAGGAACGGCATGAGCCACAACCCTTGTTCGAGACCTAAAAGTCCTTTTAGAACTACTCAGAATGGAGAAACAGTTGTGAGAATAAGTGCAAGAGACCTGAATCACTTTGAGATTCTTCATGATGAATCAGAGTTGCCAAGTCCTAAAAACTTTAGACAAAATTCAAAGAATAAAGATCCTTTTGATGGTCATATAATGGAAGACTTGGACAATGATGAAATCGAAGCCTTATTTAAAGAGCAGCAAACTCCTGCCTTGTTTAGAGGTACATCTGGAGTGATAGATCCCCAGACGCTTAAGCGAAAGTAGTCTGAAAAGGGCTAAATCTAATTCTTCTCACCTATAAAATTCTTCAACCAATCAATAAAGTTATTCCAACTAGGGGTTTTGGGGTTTTGGGGTTTTGGGGTTTTGGGG